ATATGAATGAAAGTGAAACCAGTACTGCAAAGGCTTGCTAGAGAAGCTGTATCATCAGGAGGGAGCTAGGTCTCAATGACAGCCAGAAGATGGAAGCAGCAAGTTTGTCACCCATGTAGCAAGCATTCCAGAGAGCACAGCAGGAGGAGTAGATAGTTATAGAGTGAGAAGTTGAGGGGTTGGGGGAAGGAGTGGGTTTATCAGGCAGTGAGGGGCAGGAGCAGGGAACAGGGTTCAGACAAATGATCACTGAAACCACTGATATAGCTCCCTGGTCATTTAAGTATAAAAGCCCAGTGCATAAGAAGTTGAGATACTTCTCAGGCTTGGCATACCCTGCTGACCAGGGAAACCTACCTATATGTGACAGGAAGCTGCACCCAAATGAATCAGTACTGGCTCTCTGGAATCAATGCAGTATCTTTCCTGAATGTGTTTTAGGTGTTAGTGTTAAGTAAACCTCAGTTTATCACAGCAGTGGGGAACCTGGAGCCTCAAGGCCACATGTGGCCTTTTGGGTCCTTGGGGGCAGCCTTTTGACTGAGTCCAAGCTTTACAGAATAAATCCATTTATTAAGGGGATTTGTTCTGGGAAGTTTGGATTTGGTCAAAGGGCTGCACTTGAGGACCTAGAGAGCCACATGTGGCCTTGAGGCTACAGGTTCCCCACCCCTGCATCTAGTATTCAGTTGTCAGGTATTACATTTCAATCCGTCTCTGAACCACCAGACCAGTCCGAGTCAGGTCTGGCCCAGAATATGTGGCCTAATTGTCAGGATTGGATCTGAATGGCCTTGTGGCTAAAGTATGAGAGGTCCAATAGTGAGGAAATGGATCTCCAGATGATCGGGTGCCCTGATCTAAGAGCCTTGTACCCTGTGGTCGCTGTGCTTCTAGCTGCATAACAGCCTATATTTAGAGCTGCAATGGACCTCAGAGTTCAATTGGGCCCAATTCCCTCATTTTACAGATTAGGAAACTGAGGCTCAAGGAGGGTGATTTATCCTAGATCATACAAGGAGTGACAGAGCTGGAATTTGAACACAGGTCTTCTGAATCCAGATCTATTGCTTTTTCCATTGTGTCTCTTTTTCCACTTTTTCCTGAACTGGACTATTAATTTAGAAAGCCAGCTGTGGTTGCATATTCAGCAACTAGAGACAGATGTGCTCTAGGTTTTTAAGGACCATCCCCCAAAGATGGTAAATGTTTTAAAATGTCATTTGTCATATTTACATAACTTTCTGTTTGGGGATGATTATGATCTATAGGCCCACCAGCTGTGGTGCATCTAGGGCCACCCTGAAGAAGATTGATTTTGATATTGTATGAGAACAGGGCTGAAGGAATCTTGACATGTGGACTTCATTGATGCTCCTCAGGGTATCCTCGGGGTTGGGGTTTGAAATCAGAAAGCTTAAACCTCCTTAGGCCCACAGATTTCCAGAATTTTGGAATAAGGGCATAGGTGCCAAATGCACCCCAGTTGATTTGCTGATGACAGAGAAAGCAGTGTCATTTTAAAAGGAGAAATAGCTCCTACTCTTGCTCCAGATGTTTGGCATGAAACTACCTCTCCGGGACTTCCAGTGAAGGGTAGGTGAGGGGTCTTAGCTGAGCAGGCCCTTGTCTACCCTATCTTTGTGGCTGTTGTGTTGTTTTAGTCCAGTCCAACTCTTCATGACCCCATTTGGGTCATGCACTTGCCTATATGAAGTCTCTTGTCCTCTTCTACTTTGTGTCTCTTTTTCTGAATATAGGTGTGTAAAATGTGATCCTGAAATGGTTGCTCCTGCTTTGGCTGAAGCTATTTTACAGATGAGGATACTGAGGCAGATGGAGATTAAGTAACTTGCCTAGAGTCGCACAGCTAGTAAGTGTCTCAGGCTACATTTGAACTCAGGTTTTCCTAACTCCAGGTTCAACTACGGGTGGCTCAATCTATTGTGTCATCTAATTGCATAAAAGAATGAGTCATTGTCCAGAATTGTCCAATGACAGGACCCAACCTAAGTCTTGAAATCTGCCAATCTAGAGTTCCAACAATTAATAAATACACTTATGCTATATTCAAAAGCTACAAACATTTTATATTAGATCATTACCTGTTTTCACAAGGAAGAGAGGACTAGGGTGAAACCATATTGAATACTTAAAGTAAGTGGAGGGATCCCCATTGTGGTGACTGAAGGTGAAAGCCATCATTTTCAAAAATAGGAAATGGATAAGGGATTTAGAGATAAGAGGGACCAGGATAAGAGCTTAGAAATTCAGGAATGGAGCTCAAATATTCTCCCCCTCCCTGAGAATGCAGTCATCTCACTTTCTCTCTCCCTAACAGGGAACAAAACAAGTAACTCACAAATTAGCTGACTGATGGAAACCCAACCCATACAAATTTGTTGAGAGTCTGGGCAACTTGCCAGTTAACAAAATATCCCTAAAGAATTGGGAGGGGCCCTATAAGGACAGCCAGTTGGACTTTCTGATATGTAAATGGAGAGAACTGATGGATACTATTCTAGGCAAAGGGTAAGGAAAAGAGGCTATCCACCAACTGTACAAAAATTTTCTGACCCAGAAACGGGTGCTGAAAGTAATGAAACCAGTGAAGGAAACTATGTATTATTTAGGGCAGCAGAATTGAACCCAGAAGCAACTCCTTTCCTGCCCAAAGCTGCTAAAGAAGCTCCTAAGGGATAAATTCAACTCCCAGATCATGAACAAACCTATAGTACACCTGACGTGAATGCCAGCTTGGGTACAGATAAAGAAGTCTATAATGATCCTTGTGGTCAGCCCACGCAAACTACTAGTTCAACTACAGGAGCCAAGAGATAAATGCGTGATGAGATAACTAGGCCTATTAGGCCACTAAGGCTAAGTTGTGGTATTATAGATACATTTGAAGACAGAGTTATACTTGTATCTAGGGGACAGCACTAGACGTTACCCAGGTGAAATGTACTTTGCATGTAATTGCATACAAAATTGCATGTTTGTAGTTGCACTGTGTAGTTACTGCATGTTTGAGTGTGCTTATTTCTTATTTTGTAACGTTAATTTTTTTGTGCATAGGCTTTTTATAGTTAAGCTGCATTTTCTGTAGAGACCTATTGATGTTACTGCTGCACCTAGCTAGCTTTGCTTTGTTAGTTAAGCACACTCGTTACTTCTGATTGATTGCTGTGTACCACGGATATACACGGACTTGCAACATGTGCATATGTTATGTCCTGTATATGGTTAGAAATGTTCTGAGTGTAGTATCCTCCCAGGTAATGCTCTATATGGTGCCGTATCTATTGTACGTACGTGTGTTTTATTTTCAGTGGTACTGTGGCTTGGTTAACTGATACACCAAGAAAATCACTCTCATTTTAAAGCACTTATTTTATATTTATGCTGTATAGTTACAGGTTTTGAGTTTGCTCCAGCTGAGCTTTGCAAGCGACCACAAAGAGTTTTGACCTAGGAGAGGAATGTTGCCCTAGCCTCAAAGCCCATTTGCATGGGACTGTCCTCATTGGTGCAGATTGATAACTCCATGCCCTCTACTTGTGTGAGGGTCAGTTAGTGAGAGCTTGCAGGAAGAGAAATTTTTCTATTCTTCCAGCTTCAAGAGAGATGTACCATTTCAGACTCTCTTCAGTCCAGAGTAAGAAAGACTCTAAGAAGCTGACATGTAGAGGAACCAGCACTTATCATGTCCCTATTCCTAGCTAACTACACTAGAGACTTCTGGGAATTTCCCTTTGGTTGAGATCTGGGAGTCTCAGATTGATTAAGCTGTTATCTCGCTCCAAATTACAGAAGTCTCTCACTCTATATTGTTTGGTATTATATTCTCACATTTCTCTGGTTTCTGTTTTGCTATCAATTTGGATAAATGGGTTTATTGCTATATGTGTGTTCATTACTGAACTAGCATTTGGTGGGAAGGGAGTCAAGTCTTAGATTTATAGATTGGCGCCCTCTTTTCCTATTAAGGGATAGTGATCAAAAGTGTAGCTTGAACTTACTTCTCATAGATTCATGATATTTAAGCATTTGCAGAGCTTACCAGAAACATCACCAGTGGACCATAAAGATACACCAACACTGTTTTTCCACATGTTTTATGAAGATGTTTCTTTTTTCCAAAAGAATTTACTTCACTATAGAGAATCTTCATTCCCAAAGAATTCATTAGTCAAGTCGATGTCAAATAGACATTCAGTATAGGAAAAATTTTAGATAACTATGGTCAATTGAGAAATATTTATAATGGAATTATATCACTATGGAATTACTACAGAATTAAATTACCATGAAATTAAAACCAACATACTAAAATGAATTGAGAATGGCATTGTAGATTCTTCTGGTGCTAAAAAAATAATAATTAGAATTGAACAATAAAGTATTCCTAAGTTAATATCCCTGTCTCTTTGTGCCAACTTCAAGATTTTTAATAGTTGGAGCATCTTACTATTAAGACTAAATAAATGTTTAGAATAAGCTTCTGGGACCCACTCACGTCAACTGAATTTTCTTTTAAATGATACATCAAAAGAAATGAATATTCCTTCCTTCAATCTCCCCACTAAACTCCATTTCAAGGACTGGTCTTTTGTAGGAAGCTGGGGAAAAAACAACAACAAACAATAACAACAACAAATCTCTCCTCTGGAAAGTTTCTTTTCATTCCAGATGGAAGGCATCCAGGATACTCCTAAGGGAAACAGGCATCCCTGGGATAGTCCAGAGGCTAGCCTCTGGAAAGATGACTGCTACCTAGGACCCCTCCCCTGCTTGAAAACCTCAGCCAAGAAACAAAAATGGAACTGAAACATCCTAATTCTTTACCAGAATTCAAGTCCAATGGGAGAAAAGTCACTTCCCCACCTCCCTCTATTTGAATCTCCAGGGAGCTAAGTAGTGGGGACAAATCTTCACTCTTATTGTCCTTCCTCTTTCTTCCCCTATTCTGCAACCTGGAAATATATTCTATACCTCACCTTAGTCAAGCTGAAAAATTCTGGGCACAGTTTGGAGATCTTATTGGACATGAGGTCCAAAGTCTTGAGGTGACACAATTTTCTCACCAAAGAGGGCACAGTTGTAAGGTTCTTCCCACGGAGCACAACAACTGTGGCTTTCTCACCCTTCACAGCCCTGAGAAACAGATTCTCACTCATGGTTTGAAAAGGCAACAAAGAAAGAGGGCTGAATAGGGATGGAAATATACCCAGAAATCAAAGTTCCGATGACACGGACTTCAGAAGCTCTGGATCAAAAAGTGGTGTTGTCATGGAAATGACAGTATGCTGAAACCATCAACACTCTGAAGTAGGAAGCAGTTAATTCTAGATCTCTAGTGGGGGAGGGAGAAGAAAGGAGGGAAGGAAGAATCTGAGAACCTTGACATAGAAACTCCTTAAAGACACATCTTTAATTGAAGCTTTAAAGTATAAAGTTGGGGTGGGAGGAATAATTGATGCAGAAGTACATTTTAGTCACTCCAACCCAGCACACTTGGAGAATGGGATGCTTGAGAAGAGGAACTGTTTTCTTGGTTCTTTTTGTATCCTCAGCACTTAGAACAGTGCCTGGCACAAAGCAGGTGTTTAATAAGTGGCTATTGATTGATTAATTGAATATTCCTGATTAACTGAGTTAAAAGATACAGCACACTTAGATTATTAATTCTGAAAGATTTATAATACAATAAGAGAGAATGTCTCAAACTATGTTCCAGGGAAGACCTGGGGTTAACAGATACTTCCAATTGACAGAATGTTAAAGAGAGTTTACAGATTTTTTTATTTATTCCAATTAGTGCACCAACCCCCTTTTTTTTCTTCCTTAGTAATATTTCTCTAATAATCTTCAATATGATTACTTATTGGAAATGTTCTTCAAAAACATTCAATCTCTCTCTCTCTCTCTCTTTTTTTTCTTTTTGGTGAGGCAAGCAGGGTTAAGTGACTTGCCCAGGGTCACACAGCTCAAGTGTCTGAGGCCAGATTTGAACTCAGGTCCTCCCGATTCCAGGGCTGGTGCTCTATCCACCTAGCTGCCCCAACATTCAGTCTTTTAGATGAACTTACAAGCTTAGGTCCAGGGGATAGCTTACTGTGACTACCTCACAGCACACAATTTCTTTTTTAAATCTTAGGATTGGCAGGCAAAACAAAAGAAACAATTTCTATTAATGTTAGAATCTCTAAACTCTCCTATTCACTGGTCACTCCTATTCACATAGTGGCAATTACATACAGTCCTGGAATACTAACAAGCCTGTTCTATGAAGATACACAGTAATGTGGAAAGGATAGCTCTAAACATCCACAACTGAAAAAGATTCTCAGAAAAAGTTTAAGATGTCTGTGGGATATCTGGAGTTCAAGATGTCTAATAGGCAGTTACAGATGCAAGACTAGAGGTCATTAGAGAGGTTAGGATGGGGTAAGTAGATTTTGAGAAGCATCTGCATAGAGATAATTGAATCCACGGGAGTGAAAAAGTAATAGGGAAAATTTAAGAAGTCCTAGGATGGAGCCTCACAGGATACCTGTGGTGAGTGGGCACTCAGATGAAGACACAAATAGGGATAAAGATATGGACACAAATTCCCTTTTAACTCACAAACAGGTGCTGCACTAGGACAATTGACGGGCCCTAAACTAAATAGGGCAGCTAGGTGGTACAGTGCATAGAATGTTGGGCCAGGAGTCAGAAAGTCTCAATTTCCTGAGTTCAAATCTGGCTCTGGGCAAGTCATTTAACCCTGTTTGCTGGAGAAGAAAATAGCATACCACTCTAGTATCTTAGCCAAGAAAACACTAAACGAGGTCATGAAGAGTCAGACACGGCTAAAAAAATGACTGAACAACAACAAAAACTAAAAAGTAGAAACAGGAAATCATGCTAAAGTATATTTGGGAAATTGCAGTGCTACAACGATCCCAAATTGCTTGCTGCTCTAAGTCTGTCTCTTAACACCAATATTTTATCAATAATCCTATATGGCTGGTTAAAACAGAATAATCAAAATTATAAGCAATTCAAAAAGCCATGGGAAGATGTATGCCAGATGTAAGGAGGCTTCAGAATATTACCAACAATGATTTGTGCATGAGTATTCTAAATGGATCTGATTTCATTGATTCAGGACCTCCCTTCAACAACATAGATACCTATCCATACCTACCCATCTTTGTCCTTGTCTTCCCAAAAGTTGACTGCAGGGTCACCCCATGTGGTGGAAGCCGTCTCACTTTCATTGGGAGGGTACCAGTGGAGCACTCTGGCTATGTACCTGACATCCCTCGCCATATGACTATTCCATATTCTTTTCCTCTCATAGACATCCTTCATGGTATTTCTTATTCCTGTTCCTCTTTGGGATTCCTTGTTGGTAATATGTTGCAGCCTACTCATACCCACCATACACTTCTCCATTTCCTTCTGTGTGATAGTCATCTTTAGTTCTTCTGAGGAAATGACATTCCATATTGTGCTGCCACATAGCAACACTGGGAAGATGCTAGTATTAAAAAGATAAGCTTTTGCTTTTATGGGAAGTGTGGGGTCAGTTAAAGAACTTTGCAATTTACTGAAAGCAATCTTATCTGTTCTCCTTTTCAGCTCTAGGCTGTTTGTTGTTGGACAATCTCTATAAGGTGTTCCTATAAATACATGTTGAACTCTGGGTAATATTGTTCACCCACTTGGTCTTTCCTATGTGAAGGTTCAAACCAAATTCTTTTGAATGATCTTTTTGAGAAGTTTCTGCAGTGTTCTAGGACTTGATGATCCACAAACAGGTGAAGAGGAATTCACTTTCCACAAGGTATCTCTCTTCAACCTCGATTCTGCTGGTTTTCCTCCATCATAGTGGCAAATATCTTTGGCAAGCATACAGTTCCCTTTTTCCTTCCCCTGACATTTACTATCAAAGAGTCATTAAACAGTATTATCTTTGTAATTTTATCTTCCAAGAAATCTTGAATGAGCTTGATATGTGGATGGGAGATACTTTGTTGTAAAAGTCTTCTAAGCCACAGTTTTGTTCTGCTGAAGGACATGGATGCCCAGAAAAGAAAGGAGTTAACTGGTCATACAATGAGACTGGCAAACAGCACATGGATATAGTATGTGGGGAACTGCAAATATGCCAGTTTGGCAGGACCAAAGAACGCATGGAAGGAGAAATATGTAAGAGTAGAAATGTAGCAAAAGGCCAGGGTTATGAACAGCTTTAAATGCTGGACAGAGAAGGTTATACTTGATCCTAGAAGTAAAAAGAAGCCAATAGAGTTTACTAAGATGTGGAGTACCATGGTCGGTCTTTTATTTACAGAAAACACCTTTGGCAATTGTGTGAATGAATGAAAAAGCATTTTAATATTAAATACTTAGCTAAATATTGATAGAAAAACAAAAAATGAAACTGCCTTCCTCATAAAAGCATAGGATAAAACTTCATTGTAATCTCTATTAACAACAAAATAAACAATTTAAAGATTGTGGTTCAGGATTTAAGGAGATAACCGAACATCAAATGATTAAATGGCTATTCTCAGTCTTCTACTGCTCAGTAAAGTTAGACATGCACATCTCCCTTATGCTAATCCCTAAAACTCCAAGTTAATACTTTTTATTGGATTGGCTAATTTTGTAAGTATTAAATAATCTTTCAATTCTACTTGGTTTCATATAGGACTTTAACTAGTTTTCTACTCTACCATATAAGGAGGGTGCACTGAACTTAGAAAAGATTCAAAAGATAATCATAACTGAGTAAAGTCATAAAAGCAAATGTTAATTACTAAAGAAATGTGTACTCTTTAGCCAAGAGAAGGTCAAGGAGTGCCATAATTAATGATTTTCAAATAAAGTGAAAGCTATTAATAACTATTAATTAGTGTTAATAGTCAGGATTAATATCTATGTTCCAGGTTAACTGTATGTGAGACTTTTTCTATATCCCAAGTAATGTTTTATTCATGATACCACCAAATTGGTGCAATAACAGGAATAAACAGAAGATTACATTGTGTCTATACCCTCAAAAAGATTGAGGAAAGAATAAAAGTTTCTATACGTACAAAAATATTTATAGCAACTCTTTTTGTAGTGTCAAAGAACTAGAAACTCAGTGGGTGCCCATCAATTCAGGAATGACAACAAATTATGGCATATGAATGCAATGGAACAGCATTGTAAGAAATGATAAAAGAGAGTATTTCAGAAAAGCCTGGGAATACATGTATGAACTGATGCAGAGTGAAGTGAGAAGAACCAGAATAATAATTTATATCATAATATCAATATTATAAAAACAATCGATTTTGAAAGACTTAAGAACTTTACCTCAATGATCAACTATGATTCCAAATAAAGAAAACTATCCACCTACCAAATGAAGTTATGAACTTCACTTCAGTATGCATAATGAGAACCATTGTGCAATATGGCCGATGTAGGTATTTGTTTTGCTTGACTATACTTGTTACAAATATTTGTTTTTCTTTCTTTTTTATCCCCAATGGCGAAGGAGATGTAAAGAGAGAAAAAAGAAATGTTTGAAAATTAAAAAAATTAATTTAAAAACAAGATTGTATTACATATAAATTATTATGCAAGGTTTGATTACAAAAACAATGACTGATTTTTTTTCACTTAACAGTATTTTATTTTTTCCAATTACATGCAAAAATAGTTTTCAACATTCACTCTTATAAGATTTTGAATTTCAAATTTTTTTCCTTCCTTTCCTCTCCTCCCTTCCCTCCTCCCCTAAGATGGCAAGCAACCTGATACAGGCTATAAATGTACAATCATATTAAACATATTTCCACATTCGAATATGATTGATTTTTAAACAAATATGCTAATAATAACCTATTTAACTGAAAGTTGTCCTCTTCAAAATAGTCACCTCAAGAAGTTAAATTTTTATAGCAATCCTGTTACTACTACTCAAAATATTTTTGAAATTCCTAAGAATTACATTATATGAGAGTTGGAAAGGGCTTCAGCAGCCACTGATTCCAAGCCATAACCTGAAGGAATCATGAACATATCTGGCAAATGAATATCTGCTGATACAGAGGCAAAAATGAAACTGCCTCTAACATTCTACTGGATATGGAGATAATTTGCACATATAAAAGTATAGAAAATAAATACAAAGTAAGATGAAGAAACAAAAACAGTGAGGGGGAATCAAGAAAGTTTGTGATTTTTACTACTGGGACTAAATTTTGAAACAAAGGATTCTTTGAGGTAGAGGTGAAAAAGGAACACACTTCCACACATGGGAACCAGCTAGT